AACAATAGTTCTCCAGCCATATTTGGTGTAACAGTCAGCTCCTTATTAAACATTAGTTCTCCAGTTGTACTTGATGTAACAGTCAGCTCCTTATTGAACATTAGTTCTCCAGTAGTACTTGATGTAACAGTCAGTTCCTTATTAAACAATAGTTCTCCAGTAGTACTTGATGTAACAGTCAGCTCCTTATTAAACAATAGTTTTCCAGCTATATTTGAGAAATGTAGTAGTGTATCTGCCAGTTATTTCATGAGCAATAGAACGCATGCGTAATTCGTACTAACAAATATACGATGTTATTTACAAACACAAAAGTACGAGAGGAAGAGGCAACAGGTTTATTACTTCATAATTTCGAAATAAAGATAAAACTCTCAAAATTTTATGAAAGGTGTATTAATTCAAATATAAACAGGAACTTAACTCTTCCACTGCCTTCTGTAACCCTTGGATTTAGTGTGCTCTTGATAATTTATTAATATGATAATCATTCAAAATGAAGACATTAGAAGCTACCATAATTACAGTATATCGGTTGAGTAAAATGTATTTAATTGTTTTACAAGTCTTTGTTGTGCTGGGCTACTATTTCGAACACCTGGGTTTGATGATTAGCCTTGAGGATCGAGGACTTCTTGAAAACGGCGAGTACTTCGTGGTCGGTGTAGACATTGAACAATACGATAATGAGGACCCAAGAAGATACCTTAAAGGTTAGCTTATGTTATATCTTATGTGTTATGTTTTAGTGATTACATAAGTCTAAGTGCTAGAACGCGACGCAGAGATCGAGCTCCGAATCCCAGTGTTATATATCCTTTGAGCCATCGGCGTAGGCTCTGAAGTGTGAAAATATTATAATATTAAAGTTATATATTGTTTGAACATCGTTGGCAACTCGTTGCATGTTTACATATGTAACTAATACATTGCACAAAGGAATTAAAGTCGTAACAGAATAGTTAACAAATGATATAAATTGAAATAACAATACTCAATTTATTCCTTGAAAAAGTAGGCATCCGCTGAACAATAATGTCACTTGAAATACTAATATCTGGTCATTCGACCTGAGCTCTATTTAGAAGTCTTGCATCGCACTGATTCAGTTATCACTTTGAAGTGAATCACAGAGGTTAAAGTATTTAAATGGTTCATGAACCGTTGGTTCATTGATCTATGGTTGGACGTTAGATAAAACACATGGGGTTCATTATTGTGGCACGTGATTGGACAAATAAAAGACGCTTAATAATCAAAAGAGTTTTATACATTGACTATAAGTGTTTGTTTTAAATTTCGTGCAAAGCTGCTCGTGGGCTATCTGCGTTAGCCGTCCCTCATTTAACAGTGAAGGACTAGAGGGAAGGCAGCTAGTCAACAGCACCCACCATTAACTTTTGGGCTACTCTTTTACCAACGAATATTGGGATTGACCGTCACATTATAAAAGCTGAAAATGCAAGTATATTCGGTGACGGGGATTCGAATCATCAACTCTCTGATTGCGACTCAAGCGCCCTAACCACCAGGCCATGATGACTAGAAGTGTCAATGAATGCTGTTGACGAACTGTTTACAAACTAATGATATAGTAACTTGGATACCTAGGCAAGTTAAGTCGTCTACCATTAGTTAAACTATCAGTCATTTTGAGTTAGCCGCAGTCGTAGGGTATCTACTACAAACAGAGCTGGGTTAAGGACGTCGGGAAGATTTTGTAGTAGGGTGTTCTATAAATAATTATGATTCAAGTGAATTGCATAAAAAAAACATAAAAAGTTTTCATTTTCTATTCAGTAAAATTATTAGTTTTGGTCCGTTTATGTTGCTCAGAGCGATGAAAAAATCAGTTCCATTTCCAGTGTTGATTCACAAATATTTTCGGCGTCAGCCACTGATATCGATTAAAGAGCTAATCATTGTTTCACGACTTAATTAAAATAACTTACACAAATTTCATTCTCTTATGAGAAACGTTCAATACGTATTTGTGAACATCCAGCACAAAAAGTCCTCCAAAATACATTACGAACTATACTGTACTTTTAAGAAGGTAGTTCCATTTCAAGAAATAGGGCAGATAATATGTAAAATTCTAATTCTAATGTTTATCATAAATATATAGCAATTAGAGTTAATTTTGTGTAATGAATATACAGTAACGGCAACGAAGTTTTGTGTCAAATAGGCGAGAAAATATTAATGAACCTATTAATGAAAAATTACAACATAACTGGTTTATATGAAGCGTTTTTGTTTTAGTGGCAAAGCTGCAAATACATGTTTTTTGATGAGACACTCAATTTTTTATTATTTTTTTTATATTTCTCTTAGTCGGGGCCCTTTTTTTATCCGTGGGGCCCTAGGCAATTGCTCTCAGTTGTCTCCTCAATGAAGTTCACAGACACAACTGATCTCTCCAGTCACTTTAAACAAACTCCACGTGATAATCTATATCTTAATCGCACGTTTTAGTGCAATCCGGCTAACAACGCAGCTTCTACATCATGTCAAGAACATAGCTAGTGCATCACAATTGGGGGATTTGTTTTGTGTACATCACGCAGCAGCTAATAACATAAGTATGGAGGAATCTGGCTCATGAGTGGTGGTGATATAAGGATGGAGTCCGTTCTTGATCGGCCCGGCATGGCCAGGTGGTTAGGGGGCGCTTGACTCGCAATCTGAGGGTCGCGGGTTCGAGTTCCCGTTCCACCAAACATGCTCGCCCTTTCAACCGTGGGGACGTTATAATGTGATGGTCAATCCCACTATTCCTTGTTAAAAGAGTAGCCCAAGATTTAGAGGTGGGCGGTGATGACTAACTGCCTTCTTTCTAGTCTTTCATTACTAAATTAGGGACGGCTAACGCAGATAGCTCTCGCGTAGCTTTGCCCGAAATTTAAAACAAACCAGATCGTGATACATTTCTACATAGAAATCTGGATCATGTGTGATGGTGGTATAAGGATGGATTCAGCAAGATATAAGGATGGATTCAGCTGGTGGTGGTATAAGGGTGGATTCAGCTAGTGGTGGTATAAGGGTGGATTCAGCTGGTGGTGGTATAAGGGTGGATTCAGCTGGTGGTGGTATAAGGTTGGATTCAGCTGGTGGTGGTATAAGGGTGGATTC